AGATAGATAGATAGATAGATAGATAGATAGATAGATAGATAGATAGATAGATAGATAATATACTGTATACACACACATTCATACACATCTAAGCATACACAAGTGTCCAGGGTGCCGCAGATTTACAAGGCTTTAATAATGCTTAATACTCCACACAAATAATTATGACTTTTCCTGGCATACAAATATATATTTTTATATCAAAATCATTTATTGTCACTTAATTATTTGAGACAAAGTAAACCGTCATATTAGAATGTGAGGCAGTCTGTTAGTGAGCTGGAAGAAGTGTGTGTGTGTGTGTGTGGGGGGGTGAACTTTTGTATCAAAGGTACTGCCTCATTCACATCTCTAAGATGCTGACTCAGGCTCCTAAAAGACAATTTGTCTTTAATTTTGAACCTTGGGAAGAAGTTGAGACGCTTCCTACATCTTTATTAACATTGATAAATCACAGTTTGATATTTAAAATCTAAGCTAATGAAGAAATTACTAAAAGTGCAGCACTAGATGTATGAACAAAGTGTTCTCAATGATTTAAATATGTTATAAAGTGTTTACAATGTCATGAATAGAGGCTGTTATTGTGAAGAGTTGCAACATGTTCATAATGTATTTATTATGTGTGCCATGAGTGAACAGATGTAGCAGAAGGGAAATGTTTTCATTAGACTTGTGACATGTTTCAGGGATTGTCTTGACACAATTGAAAGGATACTGAAAGATCTCTTTCATGTGGCGCAAACAGGAATAAGATTAGGAACCAGTTTAGGAGCAGAAGATAGTTGCAGAAATGTTAGAAGACCAACTGGAGAAACTGTATATATGCGTATGTAGCTTTTCAGTAATAAATATGTTTTAAAAAATTAACAGAGTCATCTTTTACAGAGAACAAAATGCAAATATCTGTATTTATTTCAGAATAAAACATGTACAGCAGTGTGCAAAAATCCAATAAACATCCAGTGTCTTACAGCATTTATTTGTATTGTGACAATTTTAAAACGGACTGTAAAGTTCATGTTTTATTCTTTTTTCATCAAATATTTTTGCTATAAATTACAGTCATTAAAGTCAACGAGACCCACTCTACTCTTTATACACAATGTCATCTACAGTAAAATATACATTTACATCCGAAGCGAGAGAAATATAAATACACAGGCTGCAACAGCAACCATTTAATTTACCACTAAAGTGTATACAAAGCTCAACATTTCATGTGCCACAGGAAGAGTTTACAGTTTATTGTGTGCTTATAGTGGTTTGTTACCAACAGATGTCAGCCCAGTTTGATGTGCTGTTTCAAACAGGAGCTACAGTGGGTGATGCTGGTGTCATTTTTAACTGGTGTTAATCTGGGACAAAAGTTGCATATTTTTAAACAAAAAGGCCAATTTCCCAGAGGGAAATAGGAGGATTTGGCTTTTGGTCCCGTTCTTGTATTTAATGTTTGCCATCGAACAAATCTGAGAAAAGATAAACGTGTTCCTACATTTTCCAATTTGTAAAACTACCATCTGCTTTTCAGCTCACGTAGAGAAAATAAGCCCTGTTTGTGTAGATAAAGGTTTTTTTTTTTTGTTTGTATTTAAGTCAAATGGTAGAAATTAGTGCATTAGTTGGGTTCCATTTCCAGCATCTGAAGGATATTTAAAGCTCTGCTCAGTATTTAGCAACAGGATGTTGTAAAGGAAATTTCATAAAGAAAATAAAAACTGATCATGCTGTTGGTGACGAGGATACACGTCACCCTCTGACTCACAGGAAATTATAGATTTTATAACCAACTTTAAACTGAAAATAGCTGCTTTTGGCATAAAGGGATGAATTATGTTTGGATCCTCTTAACTTGTAAACAGCAAAACAGTTATTTTCTGATTTAAGTTGTCTTGAGTCAACCCTGGTTTCTTTATATGTAGCATTTAAAGGAGGCAAACTGCTGCAGACATCTTCTCTGAAGTATGGTTGTGTCATGCTGACACAAACTGTTACCATTTATCATATCCAACCATAAGCAATGGACTTTGACAGGTATACAAATTGTTTGTTTGCTAACAAGGTGGTTCTCAGAGAGCTATTTGGTGAAAAGTTTCCATGTAGTTGATCAGAGGTTTCCAAAGTTGGGGTCGGGACCCTAAAGTGGGTCATGAAACGCCAACAGAGTGGACTGAACATATTAGAATTGATTGCTAACAGCAAGTTATTTAATAACTGTTATAAAGTGTCAAAAAGAGACATAATGAATAGATGGAAATATTATAACAGTTGTTGAGGCTGTCGGTGCATTCAGGCGTCTAGACATGGTGAAGTTCAAACAGAGCATCAGAATGTGGAAGAAAGGGATTAAGATGACTTTGATGTGACATGACGTGGTTGTTGGTCTGAGTACTTCAGAAACTGCTGATCTACTGGGGTTTTCACTGACAACCACTGGTCTTCAGTTGGAAAAGGGTGGATTGCTCTTTTCAGGTCGAGGGTGAGGTTCTGCCTCAAGTGGAGGAGTTCAAGTATCTCAGGGTTTTGTTCATGAGTGAGGGAAGAATGGAGTGTGAGATTGACAGATGCATTGGTGTAGTGTCTGCAGGATTGCAGACACTGCGCCGGTCCGTTGTGGTGAAAAGGGAGCCGAGCTGTAGGGTAAAGCTCTCGGTTTACCATTCAGTCTATGTTCTTACCCTCACCTATGGCCACGAACTCTGGCCAAAAGAATGAGATCATAGATACAGGTGGTTGAAATGTTTCCTCTGAAGGGTAGCTGGACTCTCCCTTAGAGAAAGGGTGAGAAGTTCAGTTATCCAGGACAGACTCTGAGTTGAACCGCTGCTCCTCCACATCGAGAGGAGCCAGTTGAGGTGGTTCAGGCATCTGGTAAGGATGCTTCCTGGTTGCCTCCCTAGGGAGGTGCTTCAAGCATGTCTGACTGGGAGGAGACCCCGGAGAAGACCCAGGCCAACTGAGAGACTACGTCAGTTGGCCTGGGAATGCTTTGGAGTTCCCCCAGAAGAGCTGGAAGAGGTGGCTGTCGAAAAAGAGATGTCTGGGCCTCCCTGCTCAAGCTGCCCTGTGACCCGACTTCGGAACAAGTAGAAAATAATGGATGAATAGACCAGCTCTAGTCTTTGCAGAGAATGATCTGAACAAAATAAATTATCCAGGAAGCAGCAGTTGTGTGGACTAGAATGCCTTGATGTTGTCAGGGTTCAAAGGAGAATGGGCAGACTGGTTCGAGATGACAGAAAGGCAACAGTAGCTCAAATAACCGCTCAGTCCAACTACCGGTAAGTTCTGCAGAATAGCATCTCTGAACACACAACACGTCTAGCCTTGAGGCAGGTTGGCTACAACAGCAGAAGACCATCCTAGAGGTGCCACTCCTGGCAGCAAAGAACAGAAACTGAGGCAACACCGACTCACTAATCTCGGACAATAAGAGATTGGAACATTACTGCAGGATCTGTTAAGTCTGGGTTCACTGGACTCCAACAGTCTCCACAGCCACAGTTCTCAGTCCAATCTAGCATCATGGGGATGTGGTGGAAAGGGACATTTGCATCACAGATCTGACTCAGACAAATAAATACATGAATCCATCATATCGACATGGACCAAAATCTCTGAGGAATTGTTCTCACACCTTGTGAAACCTCTGCCACAAAGAACTAAAGCAGTTCTTAAGACGGGTGGTCGAACCCGACAGTAGCAGGTGCACCTGATGAATTGTCCAGTGAGTGCATGTGCTTGTTTTATTGACTTGTTAGCAATGATGGTATACTCAAATCATCAAAAAGTGGGGTTGGAAATCTGTTATTTTGTGGGTCAAAAACTGAAAGATTTGGGGATTGCTGTAGTAGATTAAGATTAAGACAGTCCCTGACTGGTCTGTGACTGCTGGAGACAAATGACAAATGGCACTGGCAAGAGAGTCTCCAAAATACCTTGATACATTTGTGAGTTTTCTCAATTTACTCAAATGAGTTTTAAAGCAGGCACACGGTGTCGTAGTAGAGCGGCCACCTCTCGACGAGCTGGTTGCCGTGGTTTAAATCCCAGTCTGGGGGCCTTTCTGGGTGGAGTTTGCATGTTCTCTCCGTGCATGCGTGGATTGGGTTTTTATCTGGTACTCTGGTTTCCTCCCACAGACAAAAAACATGCATGTTAGGATGACTGGTAACTCTAAATTGTCTCTAGGCGTGAGTGAGAGAGTGAATGGTTGTTTGTCTCTATGTGTCCCTGTGATGGACTGGAGACCTGTCCAGGGTGTGCCCCACATCTCGCACAGTGACTGTTGGACATGGGCACCAGTGGATGGACAGTCACAGAGTCAGTCTGGAAACAGTCTTAAACACTTCTTAATTTAGGTTCTGCAGTTCTCGAGCACCAAAGTTGTATTCATTGAAGAATATGTTTGCAAATGCCTTCTTAAGGTTTGTGCAAATGTGTGATTTTAAAAAAAGATTTGCGTATTTTCTTATAATTTTGTCTCCAACCAGTTCCCAGCAGTACCAGCCCAAAGAGATACCACATTTGGGCGGTACCACAACAAAAATAACATCTGCCCACCAGTGTCAAGATTTGCCAAGTTTTTGTCCAAATAGATTGAAATAAGTCAAACAAAACCAGATGATGCCACATAATCCTAGAACTGCTGCTCAAGGGTAAGATGAAAAGAAAGTTTGATGCTTGGAGCTAAACATAAAGAAGACCTCAGAACTTGTCTACAGATTTATATTGGTTGAATTTCTTTCCAAATGAAAAATGTGAAATTAGCACCCAAAGCTTGCTGAAGGATCCTGAAGACGTGGGTTTACAATCATGCAAAGAACAGTGGAAACAGTTGGCTTGTTTTTGCACCTACATCCTACACAAATGTCTCACAGTCATCTAAAATTAAAGCAATCATCTTGAAGCTTAAAAATGCTGATTTTTGTTATTTTTCCAGATAAGGAGATTTCTCAGTCCTGCCCCTTCAGTTTCTGCGTGACACATTTGATGCGGATGTTTTCCCGGAGGTTACGGAGGCGTGCGCTGCGACTTGTGATTTCCTCCACGTAGGTTTTGGGGAACCAGCCCCGCTCCCCGTCTGACAGTCTGATGCCCTCAACCCAACCTGGTAAAAACACGTACGACATCAAACACACATCTGCACAACTTACACACATTCTACATTCATGACGAAGCTGGAGCTCAGTTTATCTGAAAGGTCTTTTTTTACAAACTCTTACCATCGCATGTGATGGTCTTTGCTTGAAGAATGTCGGCTTTTTCCAGAGTTAGCTCATCGTGCTCTTGGGCCTGGTAACTTTTGATGCATTGAACCTGGGACATATCTGCAATAAGAAACCAGAAGGATAAATTAAAGGTAAACAAGGAAAACATATTATCTGCTGCCTTCAGTTTAAAACTCAGATCAACGTTTTGGTCAGTGTGAATGCTTATTGCTGAATAACTTGCTGAAAAACAGCTGAAATTAACTAAAAACATGCTGAAATGTAGGTGAAATGTAAGAACAAGTAAAAGTTGAAGTCTACGACTGAACAAGGCAAAAGGGCCTTCTCCTACTCCGCTCCTGTTTCCTGGAATACCTTGCGAAAAGATCTGAAGCTCTCAACCTGGACCTCTCTGGGTAGCTTCAAACATCTGCTAAGTTCATGGAATAATCCAATGCAGACATGTTCCTGTTTTTAGTTTTCTACATCGCTTTACAATCTAGCTGTTTTTTTAATATACCATTTTCTTTCATTTATTCTTCTCAATTTATATGCTTTCTTTTATGATTGTCTACTGTTGTCGCTGTTTACTGTTGTCATCCCTCTTTGTTAAAATCAGGTGTCTCTTGTAAATGAGTCCCCGAGGCTCAGTAGGATTACCCTGTATAAATACATCATTGCTGAATAAGGTTTCAATAAGCAGAAATGAGCCCACAAATTAGTAAATTAGCTAAAAAAAAGAAGCTGAAATTAGCAAAAATAATTGCTGAAAAGTAGCTGAAAAGACAGAAAGCTTAAACTACCAGAAGGAAGTGGAAGGATCTGAAACTAGCAAAAAAAAAAAAAAAAAAAAAAGTGGAATTAGCTGAAAAAACTAAATTTAGCACAAAACAGCTAAAATATAGCTGAAAAAGCAGTAAGCTGAAACTAGCAGAAAAAGGCTGAAAGGAGCATGACAAGCTGAAATTAGCAGAAAGACATTAATTAGGCTAAAGCAGCAGAAATTACCACGAAAAACTTGAATATATCTGAAAACAGCTGACAAAAGCTAAAAAAAATAAAAAGTAGTTGAAAATGTAGGAAAAGCTGAAGTTAGCAGAAGAAAGCAGAAAGAAGACTTCTTTGCTGAAAGAAGCAGAAATTAGCACAAAAATTGGAAATTATCTTAAGAAGGCTGTTAGCAACAAACAAACAAAAAAAACAGCTGAAAAGTAGGTAAAAACAGAAAGAAACTTAAATTACCAGTAGGAAGTGGAGGAAAAACATTTTAGCTGAATTAGACTGAAAAATGTTGAAATTGGTGCAAAAAATGTGGAATTAGCTGAAAAGGCTAAAATTAGCATAAAACAGCTAAGTAGTAGCTAAAAATATTGAAACTTGCAGAAATAAGCTGAAAGGAGCATAACAAGCTGAAATTTGTAGAAATAATTTAATTATGGTATGGTATAAAGTTTATTCATTTAAAAAAAGTACAAAACAATTCCATAACAATATAAAAAAGATACAAAAGATTTAAAATGAAAGGCAGCAGAAAGAAGAACAAATCTTATTATATCTGCCCCTTTTTTCAAACAATTATTTCAATCATAATAATTTTCAAGTAATTAGGCTAAACATAGCAGAAATTACCACAAAAAACTTTATCTGAAAAAACTGCTGAAATTATCTAACAAATGCTAAGAAGGTATTTGAAAAGGCAGAACAAGCTTAAATTAGCAGAAGAAAGCAGAAAGAACATGTTTGCTCAGTTAGGCTTAAAGAAGCAGAAATGAGCAAGTGGCCATCTTGAATTGGGTTGACTCCAAAAGTTACTCAGTTGTAGACGAACATCTGCTGATTATTTTTGAAAGTTTCATTCAGATCTGTTCAGTGGTTCATGAGATCATTTACTACCAGACAGACAAACACTCACAGTCACAGGAAAAACAAACATTTATAAGATTTTCATTCACTAACCATCATTTTCTTGTTCAATGTCTTCCAGTGGGTCAGATGGAAACATGGCGGTAATCCATCGCTGCTTACCGCTCCTTTGCAGACACAAAACCATCGTCTTAGCTTAGAAGTGCAGCTGAAAAGGGATGAGTCAGAGTGTTTCTTACTCTGTGTGAGATTTGAGCAGGATCTGATGTTTGAGCTGCTGGCCATCACACAGCTGCAGGTGGAAGATGAAACCTGAAATTCCTTGTAGTTTCAGACTGAGGTCCTTCACTTTTAACTCGCCGATCTTAGCGTGAACAAACACCATGAACTTCCACGTGCTGCAAAAAACAAACAATACTTTTAAACATTTAATTATAACACTGCTGTTAAAGCCACTAGAAAAGATGACAATTCTGCTTCACGGTACTTTATTGTTTGTCTTCTAATGCTACTTTTACCTTTTAGCTACTAGTCTGCTCCTTTAGCGTTTATCTACAATGTTCCTTTTTAGCTTGACTATCTGTTTAGTTCATTTGAGCTTTTTCCCCCTCCTAATTTTCACTTCTAGTATCTGTTCCACTCGTTTTAGCTACGATATTAGCAAATTTTAGCTTTAGCGTCTGTTTGCTTCTTTCAGCTATACTGTTTTGCTATTTTTAGCATCTGTTTTGCTTCTTTCAGCTACGGCTTTGCTCATTTTAGCATCTGTTCTCTTTCAGCTACTGCTTTGCTAATTTTAGCCTATGTTTTGCTTCTTTCAGCTACTGCTTTGCTAATTTTAGCATCTGTTTTGCTTCTTTCAGCTACTGCTTTGCTAATTTTAGCATCTGTTTTGCTTCTTTCAGCTACTGTTTTGTTAATTTTAGCTTTTTTTCAAAAATAATATGCTAAAACAAAAATTACATTTATAAATCTACGTGTTTTCATTCTGTAAAGGTCTGTGCACATTCTTTGGACTAAAGTTCTTAAATGTTTTGAATGGTTGAGCCCCTCAGAATGGAAATATTCTAAGCTTCTTCTTAGCTTTTGTTAATAGTTCATTCAACCTTTATTTATACAGGTTAGTCCCATTGAGCCTCGGGGACTCATTTACAAGAGAGACCTGAAGTTAGGAGAAAAAGAGAACTAGAACCTTTGACAAGATGAAAATGTTTTTACAGCTGATGTAAACCAAACCGATCAAAGCAAGTCAAGGATTAACTCAATGCATGAACTCATCAGATTAAACAAACATGAAAGATGTAACCTCAACATTTTCCCTTCACCGTGCTTCTCTCTTAACCAGCGCAGTATTTTTGCGTCACTCACTCCTTCCTCCTGGAGAGCAGCAGGCAGTCATTAAACAGGTGGAGGTACACAGGCTTGGTGGGCAGCTTGAGTTTTGATCCTGAAATGCTCATCATCTGGGTGTCCACTTCCAGGAGTTCACCGTGTTTCACCAGCCAACGGGACTGAGAGATGAGAGGAAAAATCTGCAGGGAAACACATACATCACTGTGGGTCAGACAAAAACTTTGAGCCAAAAGTGCTAAAGATAACAGGAGTTTATCCTATCGTATCGTAAGATTAACCATCAAACTTAGCGCACTTTGCCCTCAAAGTGAATTTTCTTATTCAGATGAATCAGTTCCTCCATCCTCTTCATCGACTGAACACTGGAATTACATTCTTTGATGATCTAAGAAGACAAACACCAACGTGGTCATTACTGTCTGTAATAATACTGGTCCAGCTGGTCGTAAGAGGCGGTGACGTTCACCTTTTTTAGCTCGTTGAACGCCTTCGTGGCAGTGTCCTCATCTCGAGAGCCCGGTGTTGTCCTTTTCAAGATATTCTGGAAAACAACGATGGTTTTGAAGATGTGTCACACGTCGTTGGAGGAAAAATCACGTTAAACACGTACCTCCACCAGCATTTTGAGTCGTGTGATTCTCTGAAATGGGAGGATCAAGAAGGAGGTCAGAGGAAGTCGTTGGCAGATGGGGTCTTCCTCCAAGCGGGCCAGGATGCCTGGGAAACGAGGGTTTTCCTGCCTGAGAGGGCATTTAGATAAACTTCAGACTGACTCTTCAGTAAAAATGCATCATGTTCCAAGTTTTTTTAATCAAAAGTAAGTAATCGTTGTATGCAAGTAGTCATACATCAATTGATCAACTTTTGGACTCAACCCCATTCAAGATGGCCAGCAACCTATGTTCATAAAAATGGTTGGACCTTGAGCACCAACAGATTACTGACATCTCACAACATGCATGGGATTCATACATAATGCAAAAACAATTACAGCAGCCGTTGGTATGTCTGCTCCTGATAAGCCTGGTTGGTAACATACGGTAAATAGACCCTTCGCAGAGCTGGGCAGTGACCCAGCACTATGTCACACACATCAAACCGGAGAATGTCTTCCTCCAACCTGTGTTCCAGATCCTGAAGGAACCTACAGACGAGAGGCAGAAAAACTTGCTCAAAGAGGGTGAAATGACGGCTGAGGTGTTAAAACATCGACAGAGGCAATCAGTTCTATATGTCTTCACCTCTCACTGACATCTTTGACTTCAGGCAACTTAGAGAAGAGCCACTGCTTATCCTGAGCTCCAAGACACTCAGAGAGCTCCTGAGACAACATGAAGTGGTCCACGGCGATTATCAAGCTACGAATGTACGACGCCTCCGATGTCACCAGCTCAAACTTTGCCTGAGGAGAGAAAAAGACGGTCAAGCAGAGAATTCATGCAAATGGAAGTGAAGAAGAAGATGAGCATCTTCACCTCTTGTAATTTTCTCTCCTCGTTGCTGAAGTTGTCGAGCTGACCGCTGGATCGGACATCAGGTATGTCCTGCCACAGCGCAAAGGCAGAACCTCGAGAAGACCGAAAGGAACTAGATGGAGACAGATTGGATGGAGATGGGGTCCCATCTGAACCCTCGTCTCTGAAACCCTCCTCCTCTGTCCCTGGCTCCTTCCCTTGCTGCCTCTGGATCTCTCGGTTGATGGCAACGTCACTGTATTCCTGGTAGAGGATTGCTGCAAAATTAAAGAAAAATGTTGAAAAGAATGTTGCGATGTTCCTGACAGGACGTGCAAAGCTTGGTATAAATGGTTTAATGAAATAGGAAAACACATATGGACAAACATACAACTCGGCAAAAAACGTGATAGACGATTGGTGTTGGAAACTGGTGGACTTGTTCCCAGGTCCTCCTCCATGGATTTCTTTCTCATTCTGTGAAACCACACCAACAGATGTTTGATCTTCACAGTCTTGATTTGATCTTTTGCAGAAAAACGTAAGCTTCATTTTGCACCTTCTTACCCAAGTTTGGAGCTCCATCGATGTAAAGGCATCCCATTCTCAGTACTGGGCAGTGAAGGCACCAAACCAACAGGACTGTGTGGGGTGCTATCACTGGAGCCTCCTGAGCTTCGGTGTCTGAAGTTAGACTTGTCTGTAAAGAATGACAAGATGCCCATAAAATGGTTAGCAAATTATTATCTTTATGCAAAAATCCTTTCGACTCTGATTGATCAGCTAAACATATGAAATATTTTACTGCTATGTCTCTCAGTATCCTCACAGGTATTCCTAAAAGCTTTTTAGATCTGACTAACTGGCAGCGATGGCCGCATCTGTGTGATCATAAGGCATACCTGGTAAACCTGCTCATTTATGCAGTTCAGCCATGTAGATTCCAAATGTTGGCAGGATTTTTAAATAAAGCAAGTTACAGCCTTGGTCTCATCTCACTGAGCCAGATTGTAACACCAATGTTTGTTCAGGATTTCCTCTCTTTTTGTGGGGCTTAATTTGAGTTTTTCTTCTGGCATGAAGAAGAATGACCTGTATTGTTTGCTGATGATGGCTGGATATGTTAGTGCTTGTCCAATACACTTACCAAAAACAAAAGGTCATCGCTGACTGCCATAAACCAGTGTTCACCTAAAGGTGTCATCTGAATACTGCTCTTTTTTATTTATTTTTTTCTTCTTTTGGCTGATCCCTTCTTCAGGGGTCGTCACAGTGAACTAACGCTCACGAAAACTTGGCAATTGGATTTACTCCAGATGTCCTTCCTGACACAACCACAGACCACCAAGCTACCACAGCCCTCTGTGTGGAGCAGAGAGCTGCCATCCAGGGTGCTCGGGGTTAAGAGCCTTGCTCAAGGGCCCAGAGTGGGGCAAATGAGGGTAGAGGCAGGTGTGGGTGCTTCATCTTTTCCACCTACAGTTTGATATTGTCAGTCCAGGTGATAGAACCGGCGACCTTCCGTTCACCTCTTCTAACCTCTGCACCACCTCTCCCCCATATCTGAATACTGTTCATAAAATGCTAAAATATTTAGATTTTGTGAAAATTCACAATATAATCTGAGTTCAAACTTTTATGTTGCATACAGTTTACTTGTAAACCATTAGGCTGGTTGATAACTGCTGTAATCTGATGCAATCTACCAGACAAACATTGCATTGTAGAGACTGTAAAAAGCTGAAGCCAATAATTAATTCTATTTAGGCTCTGGAAATTTTTAGATAACTGCAAATACTTTGAATTTTTTTAATGAAAGGTTCATAAAATGTAAATTATTTGTAAAACTAGAACTTGAATAGGGGTAGAGATGTTGCCTCAAGGTTGCCGGATCGAAAAGGCTTTTGGATCGAATCAAGTCGGAGATCTTTCTGGGTGGAGTTTGCATGTTCTTTCTGTGGATTAGTGGGTTTTCTACAGGTACTCCGGTTTCCTCCCACAGACCAAAAATATGCATGTTAGGCTGATTGGTAACTCTAAATTGTCTCGAGGTGTGAGTGAGAGAGTGAATGATTTTTTGTCTCGTTTGTCTCTATGTGTCCCTGTGATGGACTTGTGACCTGTCCAGGGTGTCCCTCACCTCTCGCACAGTGATTGCTGGACATGGACACCAGCGACCCCCGTGAAAAGGAAGAAGTGGTAAAAGATCATTAATGGATGGCTGGATGGATAGAACTTGAACAGTTGTTTTAGTACCTTGTCGGAGTGAGTTAACAAGTTGTTTACTTTCATTAAACTATCAAGATTGGTTGAGTGTAACAAACAGGAAGGTTCTTCAAGCTTTGCGTTTTTTTTGCTTCACAAGAAAAAAAAAAAGGCGTGTTTTTTGCAGCCATTTGTTGAAAATCACAGCATAGTTTTGTGTCAAGAGCTTGCAAAACATTTTATGTTCTAACATTTAAATGCAAACCATGTAGAGGACCTGATTTAACTTTGTTGGATTTTATATTCTACATTCTGCAAATTCTTTGCCTACCTCCGCCTCCATCATCAATGCCTGCTTGGCACCCACCTTAACAGTCTCCCCCACGTCTATGATTTAATCTACTGGAGTTTTGAAGTGATGAGGGATGGATAGATTTGTACTTTTTAGTAATATTTATTGTTGTGACCAAGCCTGCAAAAAACTTTAGGTGGATGGTGGCATTGCATCAGACGACTGTGAGCGTATTGTATTTTATTCAGTTGTTGCATATAAAGTATCACAAACCTGACTTAATTTGTGTCAGATTTAAAACTTTGGGAGTCCACCAGGGCAGTGGACAGAAGTACAGAGGAGCTGACGTGCACGTTGGTGATTGTAGTCAAATGTTAGAAAGTCTTCCATGCAAATGTCACAATACAGCTAAAGCATTGTTTAGTTTAAAGGAACTAAAAGAAGCAGGGCTTCATAATGCCCGTGACTATTTTAAGGGATAATTTTGTTCTTGCGAATGCAGTTGGCCAACTAGACGCCAACAGTTGCAGCAGCGCGGTGAGTTGCTGTGATCTATTAATATCCATGGGCAATGTTTTTGACTGTCTATCAAAGAAAAGCTACCAAGACGTTGGTAACTCACAGTCGGCGTTTGGGCTGAAGCTGCTGGAGTTCTGTCTGTCCCTGGAGGCCACCCGAGCAGACAACGACTTTCCCAGCTTCAGGGTGAATGAGTTCTTCCTCTGAGACAGCTGCAGTCTGGATATTAGCTCTGAAGCAGAGAAGCGCCGGCGTTCCTGGTCAGCTTGACGACTGCGTGACAAAAAGCTTCCTATTGAGGGAACTGATGTCTCTATGCACCCAGTCTCCTCCCTTTCTCCTGGCTCAGAGTCCTCTATAATCTGTAAGGGTTCTGCTGGAATATTGAAAAGATCGTCCTGACTGATGCTTGGGAGATCAGGAACACCGTCCGTGGATGGAGTTGAAACGGCCTCTAAGGAAGATAATCCACTCAGGTCTTCTTCCAGAAAAGATGCAAAGGGTCCAGGAAAGATGTAGTCCGCCTCCAGGATTGGGCTGTTGAGGGAGTCATCACTCAGGCTGTCTGGAGAATAAACCTGCATCTTTCGCCCTGAGGACAAGAAAATAATCCAGTTAGTTCAAAGGAAAGAATGTTTTCCCAAAGCCTGATTTGCTCTGTCAACTCACGGATAGACTTCTCTCTCAGAGACCTCTGTGAAGCTCTCCTCTGAGGCTGGCAGGAGTCTGGACCCTGACAGTCAGAACATTCAGGTGAGGATGGAGAACCAGGTCCCTGAGATTCCCAAGAGTCTCTGTTTGTGTAGAGTGAGGACAGGGGGAAGGACAGAGGGAGGCTGAGAGCTGCATGGAGCGGACGGCACAGCGTTGTTACCGTTTGCGGCATCTCGGTTTGTTCCTGCAAAGAAGTCCTTGTTTCTTTCTGGCAATGCTCCCCATCATCAGCTGAACAAGGAGAAATATTCAAGCTTATTTCTTTCTCACTGTCTGTCCTGGGGCAGCCCTTCTGCATGGTATTAATTTCATTTAGCGTTTGACTTAAACCGTTCAGTGGCAGAGAGTCTGTGTTGCGTTGTGCGTCTAAAATAACGTTTTGCCTCTGAGAGCCAAAACCGTTTAACTTAGAAGCTGCGGGTTGCAGCTCAATAAAAGCCAAAGTTTCCTGCTGACACACAGCGACGTGCTTGTGATGGCACGGGTGGAGGAGACGCCTGCCCTCCTGGGACTCACTTAGACCTTGGGACTCTCCTGGGCCTGGGATCCACATGCTGTGCATCTCTCCTCGGCAACGAAAAGAGTGAAGGTGGGGCTGGAAATCAGGAAAAGGAGAGAATCCATATCCAGGCAGCATGGCTGAACGGCCATATAGGAACTGCAACAGAGACAACAAACGAACAAACACATTGAATGCACAGGTGAAGAAGGAAAACAGATAATAGTATTAAACGGCTGGATTATTTTAATAAAAGTTGTCTTTATTGCCTGCTGTTTTTCAGTGCTGGGTGATCCTGCGTTAGTCAATCTGTTGTGTTGGGAAAAAATCCCATTGGTCATTAACAGATTTTTTAAAAACGCTCAGAAAATAATTATTGAACACATGTATACATTTATAGATGGTTAACTTTTGAAGTCAACATGCCAAAATGGCCAACACAGCTAATTAATTTTAGCAAACACAAATAAACAACTATAACGCTGTCAATTTTACAAATGTTGTGCTTTAAATCTGGTGTGGCAATCCTCAGCAGATACAGCACTAACAGACAATCTTGCAAGAGATGGCTCATAAAGATACTGTCCAGTTTTGACTGTAGAGGCTAAAACTCCATCATTTTTTAAGATAAAACCATTTTAGTGTAAAACTCTGACATGAGGGCGGGCAGCAATAGACGTTTCTTCAAAGAAACAGACATAAAGTAGAGATTTATTTGCGTCTTTTATGGCAAATCCCTACATACTTTTCAAAACATTTCTGATAATAATAAAAAAAAAAAAACACACATGGCATGGTCCATGTTAGATGTTCTAGATGTTCTACTAAATATGATTTAGGTTTTGGTTATATCTACAAATGCCATGAATGGTGGGTAATAATGTACTGGTAATTGCTCGTGTCTGTGCATGGTTCGATTGTCTGTTGCGTTAGCAAAATATCTCCTGATCAAGTGGAAGAATTTAAATGAAACACTCAAAAAGAAATAATCAGATGTACTTCTAGAACTGACTAATGTGTTTAAAGTCAGCTCAATTGAAGAAGGCCACCACAGCTAACACATCTTAGAAAACGCCACAGCAAGCAGTACACTGATGTCCTTCGTCTCTGAAGGATTTGAAGAATGAATGTTTGTAGTTTTCGAGATGAGTGTTTTTCTGAACTGGAATTGAACAGGAAATGCAAGAAAACCTTAATGTTTTTGATTTAAGATATTTAAAAGGGGGAGGTATAATACTGTGTATAAGGACAAAGGTAGGTTTGTTTTTCTTGTCCGAGGCGGCACAGAGTGATGGACCCTGATGAGCCGAGGGAGCAATTTTATCTACAGCCAGGTACAGTGGAGCCATTATACATCCATCCATCTATCCATTATCTTTACCCGCTTCTTCTTTTTGGGTCGCAGGGGTCACTAGTGCCCATATCCAGCTGTCCAGCGATGTCACTGTATGAGAGGCGAGAGACACCCCGGACAGGATTTGAACTGGCGACCTTCGTGCTGAGAAGCAAAAGCTCTACCAACTGAGCCACCTGCCATATACGTATATGTGTGTGTGTGTGTATATACATATATACATATATATATATATATATATATATACA